CCCCAAAACCCCAAAACCCCAAAACCCCAAAACCCCATAAGGTAAGATTAGATGAGATATATTTGATATAAACAACTATAAATTTAAAATTTAAATTCTTCTTAATAATAATTCATATATCCCATTTATAGAAAATCTATGAGCAGGTAAGATTAACTAAATCATATTGAGAGATTGAACAGTATTTTCAAGTTCATGATTCATGATTCCCTTTACAGAACCTAACCATTTTCATAGAGAACTCAACATTAAGAAGTCAGTTGACTTGAAAGCCGGTAACAGCGGCAGCAGACCCATCGTTTAGAATGATTCCTCAATTTTCAAACATGAGTTAAGAAGTGGCAAGATCATACAAAAGCCCGTCTTCGTTCCACAGCAATAAAGCATCAAGCCTCCCCCATCCTAAGCAAAGATCTGCGAGATCAAACTTAAGGAGTCTATCTCTTAAGAGAAGCCTCTTTATGTTCTTGAGCCAAAGGTTGAGCAAATTGCCAGCGGAGAACACTCCAAAGAGATCTCACCAGGGACATCAACATCTTAAATTAATGAGGAGCAGTTACCCACTCTCGAGGATAAAAAATTTGTAGATGACAAATTCTCTAAATCTACGCCTGAGTCAGCAAAGGCAGCAGCCCCAAGTGTTTATTCTAAAAGAGCAAACAGAGGATACAACCCTAAGTATGAATAAAGTAGTTTCGTCTCTTTTAGCACTCTCTGTGGCACCAAGAGAAAGCAACCAGAAATATCGTAAATCTAGAAATAAAATTCAAAAGAAAATCTGAGAGTAGTAATCAATCAAGATGAAAAAAATCAAGCATTGATTTAAGGTCTTTCATCATCGATGAATTAACATCCTATTTAAGGTTACCAAATAGCAAACCCACAAAATCACAACCAAATTTTTAATCAGCAAAATGAATACCCTTTCAATTATAAGGCAGCCCAGATTGAGGACGACGACGAGGAAAATGATTCAGATGATATAGATAGTGAGGATGCTTCATATAATGACCCTGAGAACAGAAAATCTGGCAAATTCATGGGAACACATGAAATGCCTCTAGGATCTCGCACTAATTACAAAGGACACTGGACTAAAGAGGAGGTAAGTTGCCATGTTTTCCTAATTTCTTATCACAGGTGCAAGCCTATAAATTAATATAATTTGATTAATTTAAATTAATGTCTTCTAATTTAGGACATGCACCTTGCGGATGCAGTCAAAAGACACGGAGGTAAGAACTGGAAGAAGATAGCTGAAGACCTTCCAGGCAGAAGCGACGTTTAATGTCTTCACAGATGGCAAAAAGTACTTAATCCATCATTGATTAAAGGACCTTGGACTGAGGAGGAGGATAAAATGGTGCTCCACCTAGTAGAAAAAAATGGACCTCAAAAATGGACTCTTATTGCTGAGAATCTTCCAGGTAGAATTGGAAAGTAGTGCAGAGAGAGATGGCACAATCATTTAAATCCTAAGATTAAAAAAATTGGCTGGAGCAAAGAGGAGGAATGGATTCTCTATTTAATGCACAGAGGAAACGGCAATAAATGGGCTGAAATAGCTAAAGTCTTAGAGGGAAGAACTGATAACACCATTAAAAATCACTGGAACAGCTCAATGAAAAAGAAGCTAATTGAGATGAGTAGAAGTTTAGACTCATATATAAGAGAGTAAGTGTCTAAAAAGCTTGGCATAAGTGACCCTGCCTCTATAAGGTTTGACCAAAGTGATGAAAGAGTTTGCTCTACCAAGAGTGACATTGAAAATTAGCTTTTAAAAAAGTATATTGATGAAGTTGAAAAGTAAAATAAAGATTACTTTGAAGCTAAAGCTAGAGACCTCTTGGAAATGAGAAAACATGATGCAGTCAGCTTGGCTACAGCTAATCTTCTCTTCAAAAGTCTAAATATAAATATGGAGCAATATATTCAAAAACTTTAGAAAATTAACTCACAGCAAAGGAAAAACGACAAAGATGACAGTGGCTTAAACTCAAATTAAAACTCAGCTCAAAACAATAAAGTACCTTTCATGGTGAAGAAATAAGACTGCTAAAACGATTAAATCCCATCATCTATTAGTGTTTAGGAACCAATAAAAGGTAGCAAATAACCTATTTCTATAAATCTAAATTATCAACCGATAATAAAGTCAAGAGTAAATGGCTAGAATATGGTGGGAAGAAAGAGGAAGCATATTCAAAAGTATCAATAGCAACAATAATAGTAGTCATTCCAAGCCTTTAACTAATTGCCTCAAGTCAATTTTTAATCTCCTTAACTTAATGAGGATGCTACTGGTAATCACAGTAATAACTATCCAATGTACTAAACTCCTGATAAGAAAAGAGTAAAAATTTTACACTAAAACTATGATTAACATGCATAGCCTTAGACAAATTTCTAATAAGCACCTATAAATAATGAAAATATTAACTATCTTAACATCCCAAAGACTAATATTCTGAAGCAGTAAAATCATTACCTTGGACCTTCATAGTAAAACCTAATAAATGGAGATAAATTTGTGTTCAATAACATTACAAATAACTATTATCAAATTTCCAATGCTGAAATAGCAGGAAATCACGCATCACCCAGCTAAAAACACTCTTGTGGAGAACATAATTAGCATAGCAGATCCAAGACCATTCAAGTTTTTCAGCCTTAATTTGAAAATCATAACTAAAACTTCGAATGGGGATATCAATGCCCTAATAGATCTGGCTTAAAGCCTGGAAATCAGAGTTCTCCTGACTTTAACAGTGGTTTCAAGATGTAGAGCCACTCCAAATTTTTTGGATCCACTCTCTCTACCTCCAAATTTCAAACTACGAATTTTGAGGCAAAGGCTTATAAGGCATTCTTGAATATGAGTGACAGTGCCAAGAAAACTAAGACCTATTGCTTCAATCACGGTAATAATATACTGAGCATCAGTGGTAACTAGAATTCAAACTAATTGAGCAATAATATGGGGGGTCACAATCCATTGAATATTAGTCCCATGCTCACTAAGTCTGTCTCATGCTTCGACCCAATTCAAAGCTCCGATCTAGTTTTCAACTAAATGAGTGGCTTAGCTCATCATGCTGAGAGACATCATCATTATGCTGCTCAAATAGGAGCAACTAAACTTCATCCTAGAGTTATAATCGGCCATGAGCATTCAAACTTGCTGAATTTTAACTTAGGAACAATTTTGAATAACGAGGAATCCCCTTACAAGGGTTTAGACAACTTATTTAAGGTAGTAAAAGATATCAATCACTGAAAGTGTCTGTTTCTTAATGAGACTTTCTATTTCTTATTATAGCCCTTCAAAGCTAAACCATAATAATCCTTAGTTAATCTATTAGCTACTCTGATTTTAAGAAAATAATCTTAATTGATTGCTATTAATACATTCATTTATTTAATTCAATTTTCAAATCCACGGGGTTTTGGGGTTTTGGGGTTTTGGGG